TAAGGTTTTTCATATTGCAAATTGTTTTAGTATGAAGGGAGTATGAAGATACGATAAGCTGAAATAGCCTAGTTGTATATTAATCTTGGGAATTTGTAGATCATGGCACTTGAAGTGCATCTTTGTTTGAGTAAATTAAATTCATTTTTCCTTTCTTCTATGTGACATGTACTTTCAAGATGTGGGTGGTCATGGCTCTCCACAAGTTTGTGTCCTTTGTAGCACTTAGTAATGTTATCTCTCCTAATTCCTGTTGTGCCAATTGTATACACAAGCTTATGTAGGTTATGTGCTGCTTTCCTCTTTCCCTCAATATGCCCTGTCAGTGGCAAATTTTCTGAGCCATCTTTCCTCATCATCTACCTTATGGTTTGATAATTGCAGATTTTCCTGTCTGCAGGGAACCTATCTACCAAACGTCTCACTGTATATCTGTTTATAATGGAACAAAGGAAAATCTTTGTGTTTCTTTAGATAATCTTAGAGCTTTTATTTTATTGAGGTACTGACATTTAAAAAAAAAAATTTTCTTTCAAGTGGAAGGCAATTGTGGTGCTACACAGATTCTTTTTCTTTTTAATATGCGTAAAATGCGCTATGCATTCTTGTGAAAGATAGTGGAATGGTTTTCTGTTGCTTTCTTCAGAGTTTGGAATTCAGATTTTTTCTTTCTTTAAGACTGTCTACCACCCAAGGCATGTGTGCCCAGTTTACACTGCTATTTAACCTGTAGCTGGAGAAGAGATGGATTCATACCTTTGCCAAGAGCATGTGTGTAAAAGTGAATGCAACAGATGAGTTGGGAATTTGAACTGGGCTTGCCGATTTCATTTCCCATGCCAATAACAGCAACACCCCCCACACATCCCAGAACTGAAGTTACTAACCATGCAATGAAACTAAGCCTATTGGCTTTCAGCTATCTGTACATTAAAGCAATCAACACAAGGAGAGCTATTATTATATTTCATAATAAAATATAATGCCTTCTTTATACTTTTACCTAATTTCTAATATGAGGACTTAAACTAGTTATACTATTTAATGTAAAGAGAAAAAAAAATTGATGGCTGTTTTAGTGTGACTCCTATAGATGTCAGTAGATGAGAAAATAATATTGAGATGTGAATGGTACATTTTTATTAATGTTGCTCAACTGTTGCAATATCATTAATAGCTCCCTGTAGGCATTTGGATGGTTGGCTACAGTGGATCACCCACTGGTGCGGATGAATGACCACTGCACTTAAGATTATTGGACACTGGGCAAGCAGTTTTGCTTCACATTAGAACACATGGGCCAATACTGTCTAAAATGGTATTCGACCAGCTGGTCACCCATGTGTATAACCATTCCAACCTGAACATGTAACATTTCTTGGCCTTATGGAGAAATGATGTTTGTGTATATTAATATATGAAGAGACTGATGTTTATTTGTAAATATGCTTGTAACAATGAAATTTCTCTTTACTTGTGCATGTATGGTGGGTGTATTAATGTGTATAGTTGGATTGATAGTTATGTATTTGTTCATGGAGTCACAACTAATATGCTCATTGATGTATAGATTTGTGTATGTATAGTGATGTACATTTGTTTGTATGTTCCTATATGTATATGCTTATTTTGTATGTATGTATGTGTGTGTGTTTTATTGGCATTGTTAAACTAATCTATTATATAGAATGCCTAGCATATATGGGAAAAGTACAAAATCAGCTTATTTTCATTCTAACCGTATATATTCTTTGCCAAGGGATTTTAATAAAATTTTCATCTCTACTATAGAATACATTGTGTTGTAACCTAGGGAAGGTTACTGAATAGGATAATCAAACGAAGGTTGGTAATGAATGATAATACTTAGAACAAGAATATCAAGTTTCGCCAGTGATGCATAGAAGTAGTAGTCAACCTCTAGAAGTGTGTCAAGTGAATTCTACAATGAATATCCAACTGCAGGATATCTACCAACCACCCCACGCAGTCAGATGTGGCACAAGGTCAAATTTAATGTGGGGTATCTGAGCCCATAGGCTCAGCTAAAAATTCTCCATAGACCCTGTATAAAATGGAGTCAGGTAGCTGTTTCCCGAGATGAGACTCTGCGCTTCGACATAGCCTCATCTGGGGATCCTCTCTGCCTGGAGGCAGAGAGCTTGATCAGCACAGCTGGAGACGTATCTCCAACTGCAGACCAACATACAGTATTTACTACTGCATTTATGTGAATGGAGACATACCCATTATTGTCCGTAGGTATGCTACAACACATAGGAAAATTGGTCAGCTGAATTGGGAATGAAAGCTACAGCCAAGTTAAAAAGAATGTGATCCTGAAAACTGAGAAAATAGCTGACCCAACATTACAGTTATCTAATGGTTGATTGTTTGTATCCAAGTATGCCTGTCTACTAGGGGGTGGGGGTGGGGGGCTAATCAATCCCTGTTGCAGATGCCTCCTCAGCCACATTTACGTTTGTTCAACACCCATAGAGCCTACCTGTGGTTTATGCTGCAACAATGTTGAGCGAACCTTAGTTACAGTTTCTGGAAAAGAGTGCATTATCCAGCATGATCAAGTCTGAACAAGGCCAGTATGCTGAAACCCTCGGTCACAGTGACTGGTGACTTCATGCAAGCACAACCATTGATGGCTCCCAAATAGTTTTGTCCACCCAATTTCACTCACAAGGCTTGGGTCAATTTGTGGTATGGTTTTTAGGCACTTTTTTAAAGGTACCACATGCTGTGATTGTCTCCTCAGGCCAATAACATTAAGAAGTCACCTTCCAGGCACATCGACCATGGTAAGATTCAAGCCTGGATCTCGTGGTCAGAAAGTGAACATTCTAACCACTCAGCCACAATGTGTCCATCAATATTGCAGTAAGCTACTACATATATATGGCTTTCATCAAATTCACAAAGACAATATTACAGTATGGTCCAATATCCATTGTTGAAGCTCACCCTCTTAACTACTGAATAGATTCTTTATAAATATAATCAAACCGCTAACAAGTAAAGCTCTGTTTTGTGTGATTCATTGTGCCTTCTCAGGCTAACGTTTTCCACTGACATAAATTTGAAAGATTTTATTGAATCAATTGCTCTGTCTGCTGCTAGAAAAGTTGGTTCACTGTCTGTCATGTTAGATTCTAGCAAGAAAAATTGTTTATCTTGCTCATATATAAGTCTACCATTTGCCCATGCCTTGAATATTGCTGTCACATCTGGTCTGGTGCTTCTACTATATATTTAAAGATTCTTGATAAAGTTCAAATAAGAATCTGCAATGCTATTGATGCTGAGTTGATATCTCAGCTTCAGTCACTTCTCATTGCTCTAATGTAGCTTCCATTTGCCTTTTCTATAAATATTTTCATGATAATTATTCTGATAACCTTTCCTCTTTGGTACTTCAACTTTATGAATTTATGCACAGTACTAGATTGACAGTTAGGTCTCATCATTTTACAGTTGAAATGGCTAGATGTAACCATAAGTTTCTTCTTACACTTTACCCTTGCAGAATTTTCTTCTGTTTTTTTTTTTTTTTTTTTTGCTTTCCAGTCAACATTGACCATCAAAAATTTAAATGCTATGTCAATCATTATCTTCTGTCTTAATTCCTGTTCTTTTACTGTTCTCTCTCTTTGATAATGTTTTTTTTTTTTTTTTTATATTCTTTCACACTCAGTAACTTCTTGTGTCTTAGTGGCTTTAATGTCTTGCTTGGAGTGACATTATAAAAGAAATAAAAAAAAAATAAAAAAAACTCTGTACATTTTGTAGAGATTATCAGAGATGCTACCATTTATAACAACTGGATGGTATGGCTCACTTCGTTCCAGTAGATAACCTGATGGAGACGTTGACATTCTGTGAGCAAACAGCATACTTCCAATTGGATTCTGACATATACTGATAAAAGAAAGCTTAGTTATGGGACTGTCATTATTTCCAATAATGCTAGACGGATTTGTGGGATACGTTGATGGAATTGCTGAAAGAATACCACCACAAAAGCCAGCCACATGCCAAAGATACATAGATGATAATTTCATACTCTGTCCCCACTAGGAAGTTGTGCATACACTGATGGACCATCCAATTCATAGTGGAAAAGGAAGTAGATCAATTGGCTGCCTTCAATCTATAAATGACTTGATTTGCCTTTTTCAATAAATCTAATGGATTTACTATGCAAGGGTTGATAGAAATTAATGGTCCTTTGACACATCTTGTGTATGTATGCATATTTGGATAGATAGCTAGCTAGCTAGCTAGCTAGCTAGATATATAAACTTATTAAAGGTTTAAAGATATCCATATAAACTTGTAACTGACATTATTAGGATTAAATTAAACTCTTTAATTAATTTAATGAATGTTGTGAAATCCATTTTTACATAATTTTCAATAAGTCTTTAAATAAAAATAAATAAATGTAAGACATGTCCACATAAAAGTTTTTCCAAAATCTTTGGTAAAAATTTTAAAATGAATGATCAATTTTCCGTACGTGTTAAAATAATTAAAAAGGAAATTATACTTTCGTTAAAGTTCCAATGTGTAAAATTCTGTAAGTTTTTTTTTAATTTTTCTTTTTATGAAAAATTTTGTTTCCGAGTTTTTATGTTGTAGGAGAGGAAAAAAAATGCCATATTTCTATTGAAAGCATATCTCACTCTTGCAATATCCAACTATTTAGGAATCAGAAAAAAACATGGTTGTTTAATTGCATTTTTTAATTATTGATATTAAATGTGCAAAAAGAATTAAGAAATTTAATGAGTTTTGAGAAATAAAATGGATAAAAGGATTCTTAAGAACTTTCACAGACTATGAGTCCAAGACATCATTATATTGTATGACAACATTCCACTGGATAATTCTACAACTTAAATTCCCAACCTTTATACAGAGTCAAGAGAGAGATTGTCTGCTGCCTATAATATTAGACTAATCTTATAAGTGGCAACCCAGGATTATGGCAATATCATGTTGAAACACCGGTTCTCAAATGATCACCAAAGTTAAGCAATGTCAAGTCTGGTCAGTACTTATATGGGTAATCAGTTGGGAAGACCAGGTGCTGTAAGCTTGGATGTACAAGTGGTGTAATGGTTAACAGCTTGGAATTGGAGATCGGAAAACTTTGTTCCAAATCCAATTATCTCAAAAAATTCTTACACTCTAAAAATATTTTCTGCCTTTAAATAACCTGCAAATGGTTGTTAAGCCATTAAAAAAACAAATCAATGAAGTGGTGACCGAGACGCATCAACAGGAGATGACAGACATTATAAACACTCTTCATTATAATAACTCCCCTGAAAGCATCATGTCAATTCCAAAAGCATGGTCAGATGAGTTGAGGAAAAAAAAAAAAAAATAACTGCCATGATCTGTCTCCATATGCAAAGGGCTACATCAGAAAAAAGATTTAGAGTTTGTAAGGATGGAGAAATCTCAAAAAGCTGTTGTTTGGGTGAAAAGATTGAAATCAAGTATAGCTGATCATATATTGTAGGAAAAAGATGATTACCAACTTCTGTCAAGATAATAGAGAACAACACTGTAGGATATGATGACTGAAAAAATTACCAAACATATTGACAACTTGCTCAGTATACCTACCATTTAGAAGTTTCTGATTAAGATATTCAAAAATTTTAACACCTGAATACAGACGTTAGGTTTAGGGTTCCCAAATGACACCACTGAATGGTCTCGTGGGTTAGTGTTGATTAAAGTAATTCTGGTTTAATGGCTGTCATGAATTTAATTCTTGCATCAGGTAGTACAGAAAAGTTGCTTATCTGGTACAGTGAAAAAAAACAGACAAGTGATACAAAGGTTACTAAATTTGAGAGAATTAACTGATATAAGGGGGCCTTCAGTTATGAAAAGTAGAGCAATCTCCATGGATTGAATAAAGGGTTTGCTTCAACATTCCTCAAAGGTTACTGTGATGGTTTGATGGTACAACTGTCAAAAACTTGTAAGAATAATGAATAATAATTGTCATGAAGATTAGTTTACTAGTCTGAATGGAAACCATATAATAATTATCAATGTATATTTATTTATATATTTCCTGTCTCATCTGTAATGAAAAAGGAGGTACATAAACTTAGTTATGAGTGATTACTTCCCTTAGTCATTTTAATAATCTGTACAAATAAAATATTTATCTGCATTTAAACAAAATTAGTTTGCAAGCAAAAAGAACTGTTTAATTAATCAGTTCCTTTCTTGGATTGCAGTGTTATTTGTTCAAGCCTTTCATGTGAGGCAATCGGATACCTTTGTCTATTAAGTGATCGTCTTGCTTCAATTTGGTCTTGAAATAGGCTTTATCACCGTCTTTATTATTCTACTGCTAATCTTTTTATTCCAAGAGCTATTTCACTGTTATGTTAAAGACCTGGAATTTTTGACATGAAAATGTATTGAGCAAAAAATGATTTATATAATGCCTAGGATAATTAATCATAGATACCATTAGACGTCTAAAAATAAATATATATATATATATATATATATATATATATATATATATAATGGGGAACAAATTAATTAAATGGTTTTTGGCTTCCATTTTAGTTGTGAATTCTTTATCTTGGCTTTGTTGAATCTCACTACATTTTTTTTCATGTCTTTTGTTTTATCGCATCTGACTATTAAAAATTTCTAATAATTGCCATAATTTTTAACAGTATGGGTACACTAATAATAATAGTCTAAAAAATCCATAATATATTCTGTATTATTTACACAATTCACATTGTTCATACTGTTGTCCTCATCTTTATTGCCATATTCATGACATTTCGGCTGTTGTAAGCTTCGGCCTTTTTCAGGTGATTGGAATTTCAAACCAAACCCTTTATTTTGTCCCAGTTTAGTTCAAAATTCCATCACTTGAAGAAGGCTGGTGCGTACAACAGCCGAAATGTTATGAATATGGTAATAAAGATGAGGACAACAGTCCAAACATTGTAAATAGTGTAAAGAATTACAATACCCCATCTCAGAAGTATAGACAGATATATTCTGTATTATTTTCACAGAGGCTGAAGAAACCTTATTTCATTCTAACTGTATATATTTTACTTCTATTTTTTAATAGAATGTTTAACATTTTTCAGCAAAGTATAATAATATGGAGACACTTTGCACATGATTGTGATGATGATGATGATAATAATAATAATAATATACTAATAGGTACTTCTCCCATATTGCACAGATTTCTCTCTATGCAGTGACCATAATTATATATCTTTTTCTCTTTTTGATTGTATGGCACCTCATCTGTTTTCATCTTCTGATACAAAGAACATGCCTCTTGAAATTTCTGGTTGAAACACTTTACACATGATTGTGTAAAATTGATATAGAAAACAGATTTTGCTATTGCACTTCAACATTTTCTCAGTTCAACATGAAAAAAACAAATAGCCCTTCATTACATATACTGGTTTGCTAGATGTGCTTTCCTTGATCTTAAAAGGTTATTGAGGCACAAAATGGAAAGGTTGATGTTGTGAGGTGATAGCCTTATCCAATATTGAATTGGTGAAAGGAGCAGGCAGACTCTCATGTACAAAGGGAATGAATGTTTAAGAAGAAATTACTGTTGGCGGAAAGTTACAAGATACCGTCTTTGATAGCTTAACACATTGTGTTGAACTAGCTAATTCACAGAATACCGAGGAAATGTATTTACATGATTTAATTTTCAATATAGACTTGAAGTTTTAGACATTCTTTACGATGACTGATTTCTCACTTTGTAATACATTTTATATATATATATATATATATATATATATTTCTGTGTTTTCTGTATGCTAAGAGATGCATTTTTTGTAAAAAAAAAAAAAAAAAAAAAAAAAAAAAATAAGCAAAATTAGGGGTGTATATTATGCACAGCTACAAAAAAATCTTCCAAAAATTGCCATTTCCTAGGTCAGTTTCAGTTGCAAAATGACTACTCACCACAAACATAGGACAATTTGACACTAACATTCGGAGATTGCGACCTTATTAGGATGTCAAATATAGTCATATGTACCTAACAATACTTACAAATGTAAGCAAATATATGGATATAGATCCGATAGTATGAAGAAAAATATACAGAAAAACAAACAAAAATCCTAATATGCAATTATGCTGTTTTAATGTTAATTTAATGTCAACATTGGACGTTTCGGTCTAGTAGACCATCTTCAGGACATATTCATAAAACGTAATTAACATTAGACTATATTTAATTCAACATGAAAAGACGATGGACATAAGAGTAAGACTAATCAAAACAGACAACTGAAATTTTTCAAGATCAGCGTTCCGTTTCAATATGATCATGTCGGTGTCACGTGGGCGATGTTGTGAAAATGTATTCCTAAAATAGAGTATTAGCATAATTGCATATTGGGATTTTTGTTTTTTCGTATATTTTTTTTTTCTTCATACTTAAAATGTAAATAAAATAAGAATTATCATAAAACTAAATTAGAATAATATTATTTTGTCTAAAACTGTTCTATTTTTTTTTTAAATTTAAATTTTTAATAATGCTGACTGTAATGAAATTGGAGGGGTACAATTTATAGGGTTTGATTACCAAATAAGGAGTATGTATTATGCGTGAGTAGAAGCATTTTCCCATACTTTCAGCACAATTTTAGGGTTGTGTGTTATGGATGAAGGCGTATTATACATGGGGAATTATGGTATGTATTTGTAGATAGGTGTGATTAAGACCCAAGCTTAATGCTTGCAAACTCGTGTATTTAATGCACCACCTTTTATAAGTGTCGATAGACTTACAGCTTTATATACACATGTGTATGTGAATGTCTTATGCATATACACAACAACCAATTTTCCAAAATCTGACAATCTGGCACTGGTTTTAATCTGGACAAAATTACAAGCCAGCATTTGAATTTCATGTGATTGGAATCAAATGATTGAATTAGTCTGGCAATCTAACTTACATTTACTAGTAGTTTAATATTAGCTTCAAACAGTCAATTGTGTTGGAGAGATACAAGATACGTATAATATGTGGGTTAAAGATGTATGATTGAAATGTTATGACATGACTTCTGTTAGTCTGACAAAAAGGATAATCTGCCATGGTTCTGGAACCAAGAGGGCAAAAGAAAATTGGTGGTATCTCTGTAGTATTAAAGAATTGAATATATGTAATGATTTCTGGGAACTATTTCTTAGCCTAAACCACAGTCTCTTTACAAAGTTTTGACCAGATATCTTAAGGATCTGCACAATTATTTTGGTACCCTCTCTTATATATATATATATATATATATATATATATAACTTGTCTTCACATAGCAATTTGGTAGAATTGTTTTTTTTATTTAATACAAAAATTTCAACAATAAATTTGAGCCTTATAATGAATTATAACCTGAATTTTGATCTGAAATTTTCCCTGCAAAATATTTGATTGATATAATTAATAGGTCAGGTCACTCTACAAGTGGTACTGGTCCCAAGTAACCCCAGCACTATCTGCTGCATGGTCAGGTAATTGTAAACAAAACCAGTTCCCTCACCTGGCTTTTCAAGTGAGGGGGGGGGGGGCTAGACACCCAGCAGGATGGATAACAAGACCTGCCAAATGAACCTTCTTGTGGGGGTCAACAGTTTATCTAGCACAAATAGCTCCAGAGCTATATATGAAAATGGTGATGACACTGTATTACTGGGTGGAGGATGTCCTAGACCGAAGTCAAGAGGCGGGGCATTGGATTATCCTAATGGAATCAACAGCCACGTGTGTGTGTGTGTGTGACCAAAGTAAGCCTTCAAGTTAGAGGATATTGGCTCTGATTTGTCTTGAAGGGTGATTAGACCTGCTTCACATGAATGAATACCTCTCTGGCTTTCAACCCAGATTTGGGGAGGAAAATGGTCAGGTGCTCAGCAGCCCTATGACCACACTTGGTCATGGGACTGATAATGATGATTATTATTTTTTTTTTTTTTAATCACTTTGTTTCAAGCAAGGCAACAATGCCACTCAGACTCAAGAGGTTACTGGGAGTGAAAGAGAATG